GCATGGCCAACTCACTCAACCCTGGACCCATCAACACCATGGCCAACTCACTTAACCCTGGACCCATCCACACCATGTCCAACTCACTCAACCCTGGACCTATTCACACCATGGCCAACTCACTCAACCCTGGACCCATCCACACCATGGCCAACTCACTTAACCCTGGACCCATCCACACCATGTCCAACTCACTCAACCCTGGACCTACTCACACCATGGCCAACTCACTCAACCCTGGACCCATCCAAACCATGGTCAACTCACTCAACCCTGGACCCATCAACACCATGGCCAACTCGCTTAACCCTGGACCCATCCACACCATGGCCAACTCACTCCATCCTGGATGCATGCATCTATACCCAACTTGTCATGTATTTAATTCAATCAATGTTGAGTACGTCATAAGATATTTGCCTGGCAGCAGTAGTAGACAGTGTGGTACATGGGATGATAGTGATGAATAGACATTGTGCTGGCTCACATTACAGTCATTTGTCATCACTTTCACTCTAGTGTTTATTTGTTTTGACAAGGGTCTGCTTTCAGAGGGATAAAAGCAAAATAAACTGGGGTTTAATCACAGCCTACCAGAAACATTGACTAGACATGTGTCTCTTTGGGAAGACTTTAATTATTTGTTTTCATTGTATCTGTCGACAATGTTAGCAATATGGAGGATATTGAGTGAGATTCTTGTCTCTCAGAATCAAGGGTATCTTCCAGATTTTAACAGTGGTTGTTTTGAAGAGGTCTATCTCCACCATCTTATATTTGTTGTCACTCAACTTCACCAAAAATCTGTACACTGTTTAATAATGTATACATACATTTGAAGGTCACTTTAAATACCACACACTCAGACTGGATAATATGACCCCCCCCCCCAACAAAAAGTAAAGCCATTAACTTAAATTCAGTTAAATTACATGGTATTCAATTTATATTGGACTCAATTAAAAATCAACTCTCTATAGGGTTGTAATTTAATTACTAATTAATCTCTATTAATTAATTAAACTCTATTAAATCACATGCTTTTTAATTCTCTTTATTTACCTAAATTGAACAAATTAGAAATAACAACATACCAAACTTTAACATAAATTAATTTAAGTTTAGCTTAGGTTAGGGTTTCAGAAAGGGTATACTGTATACTAACTTACATTTTGTGTATTCCTTTCTGTGAAAACTTGTTTTAAAATTAAATTAAATTTAAAATCATTGTGGAGCCTCTGTACAGAGGCTCACTTATACAGGTACATGTATATTCAATGTAATGGCTTCACTTTTAAAAACAATTCATTCACTCATAGTGAATTGGTGTGATTAATCTTCTCTTACACGCCCTTGTACTTTATAAATCACTGAAGATGTCACAATGTATAGTGTGATATGACATATGAGACACTGCTACTTGAACTACATTTTGTGTTGACACTTTGAATGCCAAAGTCAACTTGTCACCATTACAAAAACAATCAGTATCATTCCTTTCTGATGCTTTCAAATATTTTGATTTTTGGAAAATTACGCCCATTTGGTTGTAGAAATAATGTCAACATTTTGCACCAAGATTTTGGTATGATTGTTTTATATTCTAAATAAAGATGAAATGCACATTTTTCACCATACATAACTTTTGACTAGACATTGAAAAAATTGAACTGAATTGAATAGGTTTTATGGTTGAAAATAGTATATAGCAATTCTGACAACAAAAAGGGTGATTAGGCAAATCAACAAATGTTTTTTTTTCTGGGCAACAACAAGAAATTAAATTTGAGATAGCTAGATTGTTTTCACATTTTTATGTATCACTATGTAATTATTCTCAAAATGATGTCTTTATTTTTTT